TGAAGAATGATAGATGATAGAAGACAGAAGGTAGATAGATGGTAGATAGATAGATGATAGATAGATAGATAGATAGATAGGAAGGATAGTATTAGATGATAGATGATATTAGATATGCCATCTATTAGATAGATATATGGAAGATAGATGATAGATAGATAGATATAATAGATAGACGATAGATAGATGATAAATAGATGATAGAAGATAGATGATAGATATCTAGGTAGATGATTGATAGATGATAGATTAGATAGATATAGATAGATAGATAGATAGATGATAGATAGATAGATAGATAGATGATTGATAGATAGATGATAGATAGATAGGCAGATAGATAGATGATTGATAGATAGATAGAAAAGCACTTTCTTGGCAGAATATACAGCAAGTTCAAAAACCCTGAGGCAGGAGTACGTTTAGTGTCCTAGGCATAGAAAGAAGCCACGCATCAGGAGTGCAAGGAGTTGGGAGCAGAGTGGTCAGTGAGATCAGAGTGCAGGTTTTGAAGGGCCTTTCAGGGCATGAGAGGAACAGAGTCTAAAAGAGGTGGATGCTAAAATAGAGATGCTAATAGTGCCCTGCTTCCCAGAGTTATCATGAACATTAAATTAATGTTTCATGTAAAGTGCTAACAGTTGCACAGTAAACTCTGTATATGTGGCTACTCTTATTCAATGTTCAGTCAATATTTTTACTGAGTGAGCCAAATCTAGGTATGGATTTAATAGTGCATTGTCAGGGGAAATCATTTGTCCCAACATAATCTGCTTTTGTCTTGTATCATGAGCTCTGCCTTGAAACAGAATTGAAATGTATGCACTTCAGCCGTTTCAAGAGCTGAATCCAGTAGCCGGTTTACTGTATCCACCATGACCTCGAAGACCCATTTCCTGTCCCTAGAGAAAGTCCTTGACAGGCTTCCTGCCCTGTCACCTTGACCTCTGGTGTCCTCCACAGATAAAACTGTGAAGCTGTGGAAGGTCAGTGAGCGTGATAAGAGACCAGAAGGCTACAACCTGAAAGATGAGGAGGGCCGGCTCCGAGATCCTGCCACCATCACAACCCTGAGGGTGAGTGTCACAGCTGTTCTAGCCATGCCTTCAGCAGCATGGGCCACTGGAGACAGGGGAATGCCCCTAAAGTTGGGCAGGTACTGGCCAGAGCAGCCAAGCACAGCTATGACATGCATTTGAAAGCACTGGGCAGAGGCTTAGCCTGCCCATCTCTTGTGACAGATGGAGGAGTGGGAAAGACGCCAGGGTCTAATGACTGAAAAAAATCCACACTTCTTCTTTGTCCCTGGGGACTTGCCACATGGTCACTGCCACACATGGCTGTATTCATAGCCTGTCTACTCACATTATCTAGACTATTTTGGGTACCTCTGTATTCAGGGCTTGGGGGATGAGGCTGCTCTAGGGAAAAGTTGGAGTTTTGCCCTTCAGAACACAAGTTTCAAAATCTCAGAGACCTGAGTTTGAATTCTGCTACTTACCAGAACCTCACACAGTTATTGTATTTGTCAGATTTTTGTCCCTGTGACAGAAATACCTTACTCTAAATACAGTAAGGTGAATGCACAGAGATGGTCAGATTGTTGCAATTTGATCAAAGGAGAAAAAAATGGCATTTGGTTCTGGAGGCCAGGAAAGGCCCCATAAGGAGGTAGTCATAAAACAAATTTCTAAAATGGACCATTAGGGAGGGGAAGCTTCCCTAGATGTAGGTTAAAGTGGTTGTGCTGGATAGCTTTAGTGTCAACTTGACACACCTGGGTTGAGGGAGCCTCAATTGAGGAATTTCCTCTATTGGACTGGCCTATGGCTATGTCCATGGGGCACCTTCTTGATTGTTGAGTGATGTGGGAGGGTCCAGCCCACTGTGGGTGGTGCCACCCCTGGGCAGGTGGGCCTGTGTTGCATAAGAAAGCAGGCTAAGCAGGGGCCAGGGAGCAAGTCAGTAAGCAGTGTTCCTCCATGGCCTGTGCTCCAGCTCCTGCTTCCAGGTTCCTGCCCTGAGTTCCTACCTTGGGCTCCCTAATGAACTGTGACCCGGGAGATGTAAGCTGAATAAACCCTTTCCTCCCCAAGTTGGTAGTGGTCAGAGTGTTTTGTCACAGCAATGGAGAAACAAACTAGGACAGTGGTTTAGGGCTAAATGGTAAATTTTGTTTTGAATCCATTCAGTGTGAACAGTAACATAAGCACATGTTGGAACCAGCCCTAGCCCTATGGAACTTCTAAAACTGTAAAATATGTACTATCAGATATCAGATGCTCCGTAGAAGACCAAGGTGAAGCAGCAAAGCACAGGTGGGGAGAGACGGTCTCATCCAAGGTATACAAGTACGCTTTGATGGTAACTGTGTCTTGATCAAATCACTGGTTTATTCTTTCATCTATTTATTCAGCGAATGCTTTTGAACATTCCTTGTTGGCCACAGGGTTAAGCTCCTCCTATATTGATGGGCACCATGTCTTCAGTGGCATTCCTTCTGAGCCATTACATTAGCTGCACTGTTTTCTATGGCCACCCTATACCTTCATCCCTGGCTAACTCGCCAGCACCCCTGTCCCCTTATCAGACCCTAATCTACCTTGCTGTTCTAAAAGTACAGAGGTTTTGGAAACTGCAGAGTAGCTCAGTGAAGACTGGGAAAGTCCAAGGGGTCTGAGGAGTGTTAGAATTGTGGTTCCATTACTCTCCAGCTGGTGATGGTGGGCACTTGACTTGAAACCTTGTATCTCCCATATCTTGTCTGTATAACATGAATGACAGCAGACACTATTTACTGGAGTTCTTGTGTAGATTCAGTGAGACACTATGTGCAATAAAGAGCTTAGCCTACATAGTGTCTGGCACAGAGAGCATCCAAGTTTAACTCCCTGCTGTTTTAGTATTACCATCATCATCACCACAACCATCATCATCATCACCATCACTCCTGTTCTTATCCCTCTATTAATAGTAGGCCTCTATGTATGTGTGTATGAAAAGCCACAGTTTTCTTTTTGTACTGTTATATTTGTTCCCCAGACTACCCTTGGCCATCTAGTGAGTAGCAAGTACTGTGCTGGAGATACGTCAGTAATTAAGAAGACTGTCTTTTGCTCCTCGGGACATTGCAATCCTGTGGGAGAAACAAATAGACTAGGTGCCCCTGAATTACACCATGGACCTCTTCCCTTGTCTGCTATGCACATGACTTTTCTCAGAGGCTGTCTATAGGTTCCCATTGTCCATGGCATCCTATGGGCTTTCATATATTTGTGCCTAGTCCCTTGAAGGCTCCATCCCTGCAACAGAGGAGAGAAGGCCTATTTACATTCCCACTAGAGCAAAGCAAGACAGCAATGCTAATGAAATGCATTCCATATCAAACATGATGGAGCCCCAAGGTACGGCTGCCAGTTAGAAAATAATCATTTTAACTCTTGCTCTTTTAGTAACCAGCTTGTGACCCTGGCCAGTGTGCTACATTTCTTCTTTCTAACCTTTCCTTTTAAGACGCCAAGCAGAGACTGGAAAATGCACATTCCTGAGACCCAATATGCATTTTGAGCACACGGCACCTTGGTTTGTTAAAACAAGACAATCTGTGGTCACTGAGTTCTATCATTCATCACCCCCCTGGAACTGTCGTTTTTGAGCTTCTTCTATTTTTTCAACCATGTGAGCAATTATTGTACGAATTTAGGAGATATGTTTGCTATAAAATCATTTTGCCATGTTTCATTCCACTCCTCACTCTTTAGGCTGTCAAATATTCTGAATTTCAGGTAAACATTCACACCGCAGCACTCTCTCCAAAGCTCCAAAACGGCCAGCCTCCCTTCCTTTTTGACCCCAGTAGTAGGGGGAAACAGGTAACTCTGAAAACCATAGATTCAGAACAGTGACTCCAAAGAGCGAACACACTGACGTGATATTAATCAGACTATAATTTACTAACAAACTCTGCTCTTAAAATCTGCATCACCAGCAATTGTGTCTCCCCTCCCCATACTATGATTACCTCTTGCTCACTTTCACAGTATCTGGTTCCACGTGGATCCTGAAAGCGAGAACATTTAATAATACCCGACAGCTAATTAATCCTCACTGTGTAATAAACCTGTTTTGTTCCAGTTCTGAGAGGCTCAGCTTTTCAAAGCAAGATCCTGAATGCGGCTTTCTTTCATATGGAAGACACTTTCAAATCCAATCATTTGTTACCCAAGGAACCGATGAGAGAAATGCTTCCCTGCTCAGTACCATAACATCCACCTCAGTAATCATGATGATAATTGAGTAACACCTCATGGTTATAAAACTCCAGGATGTTGTCTTTCTGGATGACTCCAAGTATCTTCAGAACACACAGTAAGGAGGTTAGGCAGGGAACATGATGGAACCTAGGATTTGCGAGTCTTTGTTATATCCAGGCAGCACACTGCACTCCTTGGCTGTACCAGCTGCACCAGGAGCTCAAGTTAACTGCCCTTATCAGGCCTGGGAAGGAACCTTCATCTACTATGTTGTGGGACCTGGGCTCTTGCAGGCTCAGAAAAGGAAAGCAACTTGCCCAGTGTCCTTCAATTGGTTATAATTTCATGGCTAACACCAAAAGGCAAGAGTCATGGCTCTTAACTTCAGACATTTGAAATGCTTTTTTGTTTTTTATTGGTCTTTTTGAGACAGGGTCTCCCTATAGCCCCAGCTGGCCTGGAATTCACTATGTAGACCAGGCTGTCCTTGAACTCACAGAGATCCGCCTGCCTCTGCCTCCCAAGTGCTGGGATTAAAGGCATGTGCCACCATGCCCAGCCTGAAATGCTTTTCTTTTATATTTTCTCATATGTGTATTTGTGTATGGTAGACATATGTGTGCATGGATTTCACATGTGTGGGGATGCACCTGTGTGTACATGTATGAGTGTGTATATATAGAGAGAGGCCCAAGGCTGACATCAGGCATCTTCCTTGATTGCTCTCCACCTTCTTCATGGAGACAGTTCTCTTACTTGAACCCAGAGCTCACAGATACTACAGCTAGTGTAGCTAGCCAACTTGCTCTGAAGATCTCCCCATCCTCACTTTCTGAACACGGGAATTATAGGTGGGCCACCAGCATTTGTGTGGGTGCTGAGAATCCAAACTCCAATCCTCTCCCTTGTTAGTGAACACTTTATCCACTGAGTCATCATCTCCCCAGCCCCTGAAAGTCCACTCTTAATGATTACTGCATTACTATTCTTAGAGGCACTCACAAAATCTCTCTCTCTCTCTCTCTCTCTCTCTCTCTCTCACACACACACACACACACACAACTTGCTCACTCACTCACCCCTTCACACAGTCATCGAGTTTCCTGATCCCTGAACATGGAGAAACAAACACCTTGCGCTCTTACACAGCAGCACTCAGCAAGCTCCTTCTTGCTTTGTTCTCCCAGGCTCCCAGTGCCCAGGGGTAATGGGCCCTCAGAGCCCTTTCTAGGCAACAGGATTGGTATTCAAGTGACTTAATCAGCCTGGGATGGGAGCTGGGTACTGAGAAATCACGCTTGGCATCCATCATCTCCCAGTAGGATGAGCCTAGAGGTATTGTGTGCCTCATTATGGTTGGCTGCCATTGCCCTGGGAACCTAGGCCAGGGCGAAATTTGCTTTTAAACCTGCTATAAACAGACTTTTGAAGGTGTGAGCTCCAAAGCTGTGACTTGGCATAGCCTGTCTCCTGAAAGATGAGGGAAGTGTAATCAGTTAAGTTTCCTAATGGATTTCATCCAAACACCCCTTAAAGCTAATGGAAACAGTACTTTTTTTTTTTTTTTTTGGTCTTTTTGAGACAGGGTCTCCCTGTAGCCCCAGCTAGCCTGGAACTCACTATGCAGACCAGGGTGGCCTTGAACTCACAGAGATCCGTAGTATTTTTGCAGCCATGACAAAAGCCTCTGTTCACTGAGTACTTACTGAGAGTTAGATGTTGGGGTTAGATGGATTGTATGTTCTTATATCAAGTCCTCACGATAGCTTTCCTAGGAAGGCTATTCATTCTCCAGGTCTTCTGAAGCCATAGACCCTCTTTCC